CAATATATATTAGAACCGGAGAACAAAGAATTACACGTTTCGTGAAAAGGCCAAAGGAAACTAGAACACAAACAAGGGTATAAAAATCTAACTCATCTTTGTACATTTATTGAATATTTATTTCGGGAATGCGTTAGAGTGGTTACTCAGTTTTAAATAATCACAGTGGCTACCAAAATCCACACCATTCATTATCTATATTTCACCATATTTTTTAATCGACGGTGAAGATTAGATTAAGGGTATTTTTGAAAATGAAAAAAATATCACACCAGATTTATCCTTTAAAAAATTGATTTGTGTATATTATATCTAAACCCTACTGCAACCTCATTCCCATCAGCCTCTCTCCCCCCGCACTGCCGCTGTTGGGCACCCTTCCCCTCCGTCCACCCTCGCCACCGGTGCCCTCCTCCATCCCTCGCACGCCTCCTCTCTCTCTCTCTCTCATGCCCTCGCACGGCCTATTTCGCCCAGCATAAGCCGTAATCAGCAGCGTGGTGTAATGGATCTGGATCTAGTCCTTGGTGGCGAGATTGGAACAGACCAGGAAGGCCTGGACATTCTTGCGCTGGTCGCCCTAGCGCTAAATAATCCTCCCCAGCTCCTTGTCATTCACTACTTTTTCGTTGCAATAGAAGTCCTTCACTTCCAAGAATGGTAGCTAGTGTTTGCATTGGTAGAGGATTTGCCTTGGTAGCTAGCTTGCATTTTATTTTGGTATTGTTTGCATTATGCTTTGGTAGTGTTTGCATTATGCTTTAGTGGTTACCTACATTTTCTTTGGTAGTGTGTGCATTACGCTTTGGTATTTACCTGCATTTGTGTTGGTTAGATGGAGCATTATGTTTTGGTAGTTATCTACATTTGGTTTGGTAGTGTTTGCATTATGCTTTGGTAGTTCTCTGTATTTATTTTGGTAGTGTTTGTCTTGATTTATTTATGCAATGGTATTGTTTTGATTCCACATTAGTAGTGGTATTGGTTGTTTTAGTATTTGTTTGACTTTTGTAATAGTATAGATTGTTTATATTGGTAGTTTCTTGTAATGATATAAATTTATTTCTCCAATGGTATTGATGTTTTTCAAAATGGTAGTGGTTGTCTAATGGATTGGTGGCAGATTGGTAGTGCTTTCGTGTTTTTTCTTTTGCAGAAAGATTGAGAAAAAATGGAAAGAAGATCTGGCTGGAGATTACGGAAGTGAAAGAAAGAGAAAGAAATATAATTAATAAATTTTTGTAACTACCTAAAATATAATTTATTAAAATTAATTAATTAATATAACTTATTTTTTTTATACCCAATTTTCCGTTAGTAACCACGGTGGTAGTAATCACCGTAACCGCTCCCTTTATTTCAGGCTTCAACTCATGAGAACGTACCGTACGTACTGGATACAAAAACAACAAACCGATCCACTTAATACTACTTGGATGTTATGAATCATAAAAAAATATTTATTTTCTAGTTTGTACTTAATGTTGGTCTCAAGTGTGTAAGAAGTCACCGGGTCGTTGACGATGGTTAAAATACAGTACAAGTAGAGCACGAAATATACGTGCTAGTTCGACACGAGCACAATTACTTTATTTTATGGGCACAAGCACAAGTAATAAGGTACTTCTTTTCTAATTGACTCGCACGAAACTACACCACAATAAAATCCCGACTAGAGCCCAAGTTTTTAAACTTTAGCCGGGTGCAGTATAGAGCAAGTATTTAAATATCGACTCGGGTCGGTCCATGTACCCTTACTTCAATCGCTTAAGTTGTTATCTAGCAAAATGGTTTGGGTTTAGGTTTATTGGAACTACAAACTAACCAAGCAAAGAAAATTAAATAAAGGAAAAGTCTAATAAGGGAGCTTCACCCAGGAATCGCTTCCCCCTAACTAGCTACCATGACTGGATTGAAACGATTGCCTTGGGCACGTTAATCGTGAACCGCAGAGGAATGCATATGTGGTCGGAGACCACAGTCTCAATTGCTAAACCGAGGTAAGGATGAAATGCCGTGTCACTCGACCATCTCGGTTTAGAAAATTGGTAATTGACTTACTCCCTCACTCAAGTTTATGGTCGGACGGTTTAATCACGATTACTCGACTTGCTTAACCCAATATTAAGGGTCGCCCTAATTTAACCTAGTTTAGGTGGCTTAGAAAGCGGAAGGAAAACCAACTCGATTGAGTCTCCCTTGAAAGGGGTTTTTCCTCTCTAAGCTCGGCTAAGGTGGCAAATTAGATTACTAGCACCTAAATGCACAAACCTAGGGGTGCTACGCACAATTATGCACAATCCTTAGGTTGCTAAGCACAAGAATGCACAATCGACATGAATAATACATCAATCCTTGAATTAAACACTACCCAATGACAATCATTCCATCCAAACAAGTAATTACAAAGTATTAGTTAGGGATATACAACACCCAAGAGAAAAGAGTGAGTTTCTAGAGAGAGAGAGAGAGAGAGAGAGATTACAAATTTGAGCTCAAGATCTTCTTCTTCTTCTTCTTCTTCTTCTAGGCTTGAATCTTCCATCCAAGCCTCCAATGATGCTCCAAGATCACCCTAGCACTCTCTCTCTCTCTCTCTCTCTCTCTCTCTCACTAGAACTCCCATTTGGTGTTTAGGTTGAATTCCTAGTGAAAGAAAGTGTTTCTTCTCCAAAAACCAGCTCTCCTTTCTCTCTCCCCGCTGTTGTCTTCATATTTGTCCAAAAGTGACGAGTCCACAGATGCGTTGGCCAGTTCACGACCGTGAACACCTAAACACGTCCGTGAACTCCGTCGTCTCCAAAACGCAACGCTTCACTCTGCTGGGTTCACGGTCAATGGCCCTAGTTCACGGTCTCTAGCGTCAGTAACTTCGGATTTGGCCCTGGACGCATTGATGTTCACAGCCTATGCCTCCTTTTCACGGTCTTAGGAGATCGTGAACTGCCTTGTCCGCCCGTGAATTGCGACCGTGTCCTGGGACGCCTTCACTTCACTGTTAAGAGACTTCAAACTTTTTTTCGGTTTTTGCACTTTTTGACCTCCAAATATCTCAAAACTCGTCCTCGACTTCCACACGTGCTAGGACCTAAAATGTATCGAAGCAAGCACAACGTAGCATGAAATATGTCGAGGAACGATGAAATACTAAGCTAAACGAATAAGAAATGAGGGGTAAAATGTGTACATTTGAGCCCGAATCAATAATATATAATTACGAGTTTGAAAATAAAAAATACAGATACACAAATCATCAACTATTTTTAAGAAATGATCATAAAAGTATTAATTTTAATTACGATCATAAATAAAAATTATTTAAAAGAACTAAAACAGATGTGTAGGTAAACTCACTTCCGCTATGCTTCCAATCTCTTTCTTTCCCTCAATTTTTACTTTTCTCAAACTTTCCCATTACTACTTTCATTCCCCACCCAATTTATTTTTTTGTTTCCACATTTATTTAAATTTTATTTTCATTAAGCACAAATATGAGCACAAGTAGACACAAAATAAAGTAGTAAGATAAGAGGAAAAAACTAACAGGTTTCACAGAACATAATAGGAGGAAAACAAACCTATAATAGGCCCGTGTCATGTCGGTCCAGTTTAAACCAAACTCACATCACAAAATTATTTGGATCCATCATAAGTTACAATTAATGCAAGAGGAGTAAGATCACAATCATGATTAAATAAAATCTCATGAGCCAATGCATATAAATAATTAAGAAGGAAAAGTGTGATGTTAATTGTAACTTTTTTTTTGTTTTGATGGAAAACCTGCTAGAAGCTTTATTAATCAGAAACTAGTGTTACATCATCGATCCGAACCTGATCAAATAAGATGATTGGAGATCTATCTAGCCAAACAACTGGCTCTTCCCATGTGGTTTCACACTTTGTCGTCAAATGTGCTGCCTCATTCGGTGTGCGCCTAGTCAAATGTGTTGCCTCATTCGGTGTGCTGCCTTCATGTTCATAACTATTAATGTTTGACATTCTTGATATTACATTATCTAATAATATATTTTCGGTATAAGAATTCACTTGTAAACCTTAATAATCAATCTAGACAGAAAGTAAAATGAGCAGCCAGTATCCAGATAAAATGCATGGAGCGGGCTACAACAGGATGACCATGTTAAACTTCAATCTCAGAGAGTGCAACTTAACCAAAGCAGTGGAAATAGACAAAGATGTAACCATGATTATTTAGAAAAATATATTATTGCCGATGCTAAGAGTTATATAAATCAAAGAATGCATAATAGTTTCTTCCGATAAAACAGTGAAAGCAGGCTTCATGATCTGCCCATCGGTATCAATGTATAAGCCAATTAGTAATTTTGAATATGTTAAACTTCAATATTAGAGAGTAAAATGAGCAGGTAGTTTCCAGATAAAATGCATGGAGCGGGTTACAACAGGATGAAAATGTTAAACTTCAATCTCAGAGAGTGCAACATAACCAAAGCAGTGGAAAGAGACAAAGATGTAACCATGATTATTGAGAAAAATATATTATTGGCTCACTGCATGCTAGAGATGAGAGATTAAATAAAAGAAATGAAGAATCGTCAGAACAAGTGTTAGCTACAAAAGCTACCAGAGAGGAGAAAGAAGGCGCACGAGGAGGATGTTACAACAGAGGTCGAGGCACTTACCGAGGCAGAGGAAGAGCTCGAGGAGGATATCAAAGCAGAGATGGACGAAATTTCACCACGAAATATGAAACGTCCACCACGGGCAGAGGTCGTGGAAGTGGAAGAGGAATTTGTAGATCAAATGAGGGTCGTGATAAATCAAACGTCCAATGCAATAATTGCTCGAAATAAGGGCATTATGCATCAGAATGTTGGAGTCCGCCTAAAGAAGTGGAGGAGACAGCAAACAACGTGCAAGAAGAAGAAGTCAAAGACACATTGATGTTGTCACATCAAGGAGATGAAAAATCGAAAGACAACATGTGGTATCTGGATAATGTAGCAAGCAACCACATGCGCGGTAAAAGAAGCATGTTCGTGGATATGGATGAATCGGTGAAAGGAAATGTCGTATTTGGAGATTCCTCCAAGGTTCCTATCAAAGGCAGAGGAACTATACTCATCCAGTTGAAGAATGACTCACAACAATTTATTACTGATGTGTACTATGTCCCGGACATGACTAGTAACATCCTGAGTTTGGGTCAGCTGATGGAGAAAAATTATGAAGTTCAAATGGTGAATCGTCAATTGAAGCTGCTAAATGAGAAGAAGCAGTTGCTAGCCAGAGTCCCAATGTCAAGAAACAGAATGTTCACCCTGAACATTCAAACTGAAATGGCGAAGTGTTTGAAAGCATGTGTGAAATAAACAACATGGTTATGGCATCTAAGGTATGGCCATCTGAATTTTGGAGGCCTAAAGTTACTCGGTCAGAAGAAGATGGTGCATGGTCTGCCAATCATCCAGACCAGTTGTGTGAAGGATGCTTAGTTGGGAAGCAATTCAGGGCAAGTTTCCTGAAGGAGTCCCTGTCAAGAGCTAAAGCACCGCTTGACCTTGTCCATGGTGATCTCTATGGACCGATCACCCAAACATCGTTCAAAAAGAACAAATATTTTCTACTGTTCATTGACGACTACAGTAGAAAGACATGGGTATACTTCTTGAAGCAGAAGTCAGATACATTTGAAGCTTTCAAGAAGTTCAACATGCTCGTGGAGAATGAAAGTGGCCACTCCATCAAAGCAATGAGATCAGATAGAGATGGAGAATTTATGCTCAAGAAGTTCAGAAGGTTCTGTGAATATCAAGGAATTCCCAGGTTTCTCACAGTCCCAAGATCGCCACAGCAGAATGGAATTGTTGAAAGGAAGAACAGAACTGTACTCAACATGGCGAGAAGTATGCTGAAGAGCAAAAACCTACCAAAGGAGCTATGGGCTGAAGCCATTGATTGTGCAGTCTACCTGTTGAACAGGTCACCAACAAAGAGTGTTTAGAATCAAACACCCCAAGAAGCATGAAGCGGAAGAAAACCCTCAGTCTCTCACCTCTGAGTCTTCGGAAGTGTCGGATATGTGCACGTACCTGATCAAGAAAGGAAGAAGTTGGATGACAAAAGCAAGAAGTACAGATTCCTGGGATACTTAGAACACTCAAAAGGTTACAAGATGTTTGATCCCATGGAAGAGAAGGTGATCATCAACAGAGACGTGGTGATTGATGAAAAAGCAAAATGGGATTGGACTGCTGAAGCAATGAAGAATTACACTTTTTATCCATTTACTATGGATGAAAGTGATGATGAACCAAATACAGCTACACCTGTGATAAATCCACCTAGTCACAGAGAGCCTACCAGCCCAGAAGGAAGTTCAAGTGAAAGTCCAAAAGAAAGGCCACAGAAGTACAGACGTCTTGAAGATCTATATGAGGAAACAACAAGCATCGAAGGTGATGAATTGACACTCTACTGTCATTTCATTGATGATAAACCGATGGATGCTGAAGAAGCCATGAAGGATGAAAAATGGAAAAGAGCCATGGATGAAGAAATTGGAGCAATTGAGGAACAATACTTGGGAGCTTTTGTCACTTCATGAGAACCAGAAACCCATAGGTGTGAAGTGGGTATTTAACGCGAAAAATAATACAAAGGGAGAAATTGCCAGATACAAAGCAAGATTGGTGGCTAAAGGATATAGTTAAAGACCAGACATTGAGTATAATGAAGTATTTGCTCCCGTTACGAGAATGGAAAGTATTAGAATGGTGATATCTCTCGATGCTCAAAATGGATGGAAGATACATCAGATGGATGTGAAGTCAACTTTTCTGAATGGATATCTCGAGGAAGATATCTATGTGGAGCAACTCCCTGGATATATTGTTGAAGGCCAAGAAGATAAGGTGTTAAAGCTGAAGAAGGCATTGTATGGACTAAAACAAGCACCAAGAGCTGAGAATAGCAGGATTGACAAGTATTTTCAGCAAATGCCCACATGAGCATGCACTATACTGCAAGATGTAAGAGGAGCAATATTGATAGTTTTCCTGCATGTAGATGATCTCGTCTTTACAGGCAACGATCCTCATATGTTTGAAGAGTTCAAGGAGACGATTGTTTGTGAGTTCGAGATGACAGACATTGGACTAATGTCATACTATCTCGGAATTGAAGTAAGTCAAAAGGAATTTTTATCTCATAGAGTGGTTTTGCCAAGGAAGTCCTAAAGAAGTTTAAGATGTAGAATTGTAATCTTGTGAACACTCCAGTTGAGTGTGGACTGAAATTATCCAAGGATTACAAAGGAGAGAAGGTTAAGTCAACGGAGTTTAGAAGCCTTGTTGGAAGCTTGAGATATCTGACTTGTTCCAAACAGATATTCTCTACGCTGTTGGATTAGTCTGCAGATACATGGAGGCACCGACAATGTCACACTGGAATGCTGCCAAGAGGATATTGCGCTATATCAAAGGTACAATCGATCATGGTCTACTTTATACTAAGTCAGAAAATTTCAAATTGGTTGGATACTGCGATAGTGATTGGGTAGGACACGTGGATGATAGCAAGAGCACTACAGGATTTGTATTTTTTCTGGGAGATACAGCTTTCACATGGAGTTCAAAGAAGCAAGCTATCGTGACGCTGTCAACTTGTGAAGCTGAGTATGTTGTTGCGACATCCTGTGCGTGTCATGCGATATGGCTGAGAAAATTGTTGAAGGAGTTGAACATATCACAAGAAGAGTCAACTGAGATTTTTGTGGATAACAAGTATGCTCTAGCATTAGCACAGAATCCGGTGTTTCATGATCGCAGTAAACATATTGATACAAGATATCATTTTCTGAGAGAATTAGTGGAGCAGAAAGAAGTGATGCTGAAGTATGTGAAAACCAAAAACCAGATTGCTGATATTTTCACGAAGCCGTTGAAGCAAGATGTGTTCGTCAAGATGAGGATGCTACTCGGAGTTACGAAGAATTAAACTTTAAGGGGGAGTGTTAAAATTAAATAAAGTTTAATTAAAATGAATAATAAACCAAATATCAGAAAGTCCTAGAATGGGAAGCTACGGGAAATATGGATTTGGAGTGTTTGTTATATGGAATGGTGTAGAACAAAAAAAAAATGTTGCTAGTTAGAAGTTGTGGTGATAAAAAAAATTGAAGGAAAAAAAGAGGCCACATATTTGAGTCGGTTGTAGTAGATTTTTTAGGGGAAATTGCCTATAAATAGGCTTGTTTGTAGGCAAATGGATGAAAGAGAGCAGAGAGCTCAAACTAAGAATCAATAATAAATAGTATCATTCTCCCCCATTTAAAACCCCTCCTTTCCATTTTGCTAGCTCAATCATGAGCCCTTCCACCAAAAGTCCACCATTAGTGTTTGAATTATAAGGAAATATTATTTTATTTCCAACAGTAATATCTAAGCATGTGCATGCATTGAATTTTGGATTACCGATCTAGGATCCCCACAGAAGAACCCAGCCGAGCAGCTTTCCTATGGCTCTCCCACACTTCTCTGAGAATGAGGATCTCAGAATCCAGTTCGAGACTTTCAATTAAGAGGAACTGATGACAGAGGGCAATAATTTCGACAATGGAGAAAAGTTAAGAGGAGAGACAACGGAGACTTTCAATAAGCATGTGCATGTATCGGTGGCAACATTGACACTGGCAGGTTTGACGAACGATTAGAGAAGGTAAAAACGCCATCGATAGCTAGGGTTTGGAGAGTGTCGTCCAGAACTCTCTGTTCTCTTTTTCCCCTCATAATAACTATAAAATAACAGAGAATAAAAGGCTCGGAGGTATCTCAAATATGTGGGGTTTTCTTTTAATTTACATTTAAATAATAACTTAAAGAATAGAGACTATGGATTAAAAAAAATATAAAGTCCATGAGGAATGATTACTACGATGGCCGACCAATCTCATACATTTGTCGACGGGCTATGCTGGTTTTCCCTAAGGAAATGTCACTAAATAACACTTTTCTTGTAGTGATCGCCATGGATTTGGATCAAGCTATTTTCTTATAGCTTGACAAATGTTCAGCTAGAGAGGGTTTGGCTCCATTTACCTTTCCTGAAACAGTAAGGCAGTCTGTCTCGATGTGTACCTTTTGAATGTCAAGGCTCACTGCAATTTCCAGAGCCAGTGGCTTGCCTCTGCCATCTTCCCTTTATTTTCTTCGTCACTGCAGAGATGAACCTACTCGTCGAGTCACGAGCTACTGCACCATCTCCACCGGCCATGCATGCATCTACATATATAATCTTGGTCACTCCCCAAATAGATGGCTATGTGTCTCTTGCAAGCTACAAAACGGGCAGCAATCATTTCCATCCTCATCTCTTGGACGATATATAATTGGTGTCTGTCGGTATAGCATTGCGAACAAACCGTCTTAGGTTGATTGTTGAGTGCCCAAAGCTTCTTCAACAGATCCTTGGTACCGATCTACCCATATCTTAACTCAAGAGCCATTTCCCACTGTTATAAACGCGCTAATACGGATCGGGAAATCGCAGGAATCGACAAAGCGAAAATCGAAAACACGACACATGATTTACGTGGTTCACTAACACGATGTATGGTAGCTAGTCCATGGGCCAGAGAGAGCCAGTTTAACTATATCGAGGAGATTACAGATTACAGAGGGGTATGAGAAGTATTTATAGTACTTCTCCTAGGTCTAACCCTAATCCAATATGGTAAAGGAAAACGGTTATAGACCAGGTCCAGAACACCATGGGCAGGGGGCGTTACCCCTGCACCCCCACCGGGGCGTTACCCCTAGACCCCACTCGCTGACCGGTCAGCGAGACCCCCGACTACCAGTCGTAGCAGCTGATAGTCCGATTCAAGTCACATCAAAAAATCTCCACCTTGACTTGGATCCTCTTCCTCTGAAATATCTCATGTACTCTGCTCCTTCTCTCTCTCTCCCGCCATCAATCCCCTGCAGGGCGAAGTCACCCACTCAAGATATTCAGCAAGTCCAAGCAATGTTGGAACTTTCCATGTGGAACCGGCTTCGTGAACATATCAGCAGGATTATCCGCGGTGCCAACCTTCTTCACCTTAATCCTCTTCTCTGTCTTCAAGAAATGATACCTCACGTCGATGTGCTTAGTCCTCTCATGGTGGACTTGATCCTTGGCCAAGCATATTGCACTCATATTGTCGCAATACACCACTGCCTGATCATGATGTAGACCCAGATCACCAACCAGTCCCTTCAACCATATTCCCTCCTTAGCAGCTTCTGTCAACACCATATACTCTGCCTCAGTAGTTGACAATGTCACCGCTGACTGCAAAGTTGCCTTCCAGCTCACTACAGAACTCCCAAGAGTGAATTAACCGATCATCGATCTCCTCGTGTCAACATCTCTAGCATAGTCCGAGTCAGAATACCCAGAAACCAAGCACTTTGTATCACTTCTGAAGCTAATCCCCACATCAAGTGTACCCTTAAGGTACCAAAAGATCCTCTTCATAACCTGCCAATGCTCCTTCCCAGGTTGTATCATGAATCTGCTGACAACACTAACAGCATGTGCAAGATCAGGTCTAGTGCATACCATAGCGTACATAAAGCTACCTACTGCACTAGCATATGGGACTCTCGACATGTACTCCTTCTCAGCCTCACACTGTGGTGCATAAGCTGAGGATAGATGAACATTTGAAGCACTAGGAGTTTTTAAGAGCTTTGCTGAAGATATGCCAAACCTCGACAGTATCTTCTAGATGTAGCTCTTCTGTGACAAGAAAAGCTTCTTCTTCGACCTGTCCCTGTAAATCTCCATACCCAATATCTTATGAGCAGCTACCAAATCCTTCATCTCAAACTCAGCACTGAGAAGGCCCTTTAACTTCTGGATATCAGACTTCGACCTTGCAGCTATGAGCATATCATCCACATACAAAACAAGATAGATCATTGAACCATCCTCCACCTTGTTGTGATACACACAACAATCATATGGACTTCTGTTGTAGCCCAGCTCAAGCATGTAACTGTCAAATCTCTTGTACCACTGCCTCGGAGACTACTTAAGTCCATACAAGGACTTCTTGAGCTTACAAACATAGTCTTCCTTTCCTGGAACTTGGAAGAAAATCTCATTGTAGTCAACTCCTTCCCTCTGCGAGAAGCCTCGTGCAACCACCCGAGCTTTAAATTTAATGCCTTCTTCATAACTGATTCCTTCCTTCTTCATGTAGATCCATTAGTTTGTCACAATCTTCCTTGCCTGTGGTCGTTTAACTAGCTGCCAAGTCTGATTCCTGTCATGGGATTCCATCTCATCTCCCATTGTGGCAAGCCACTGATTAGTTTCGCCACCCGAAACGGCTTTCCTATAGGACTGTGGTTCACCTACATCCACTTCTTCAGCAACCTGAAATGAATACGTCACAATATCCTTGAAGTCATACCTCTATGGAGGTACTCCTGCAGTCGCGCTCTTCGGTCTACCGGAAGCTATAGACTGTTGAGCTCCTACACTGGACTCTGAAGTTTCTAGCTCTGCAGAAACATCCTCATGTTAATCTTCTCCACCTTGGTGTCACTACAAGAA